TCTCTTGTCGAGATCTGGTAAATTCCTCTACAGAGGGTCTTGATGCAGAGATCCTTTAAATCCTTTACAAATCCTATAAGTTCCTTTCAAAAAAATTTACCAACTTCCAAATAAGTTGGTTACTTCCCTAAATCATTTCCATTAAACAATGATTGCCGAGGCTTTTTGGGCTAGCCGCTGCACACCGTTTTATTTCAATTTTCACTTTGCGGGCTGAAAATTGCAATCACATCAAACCTTCTTTAAAATTATCTATATTTATATTATTTAATTCCTTTTGGAAAACAATTTTCTCTTCCCCAAGATCTGAACCCCTTTTGATGTCCTGAGACACCTCCCCAATTTGCTTCAAATTGTGCTCCTTCGATCGCGAATTGCAGCTGCACTTGCATATGACATGTAAATCCCATCTGACAGTTACGAATTCTATACGCGAAACACATCCGAAGCAAAAAATTGCGCAAACTTAAGCTGGACCAACCAATGAAAAAAATCACCGAATCAATAAAGAGCGCACCGCGCGCAATTCAGAAAGTGGAAGGTGTCCTGATCAGTATAACGCCGTTGGTGTCAATGCTACTGCTCTGGTCCTCACTTGGCTGAAAATCCAATGGCAATTTGGCCAGCAGCCACCTGTGCGCAAACCGAAATGTCACCTGAGAGCTCGAAATGATTTTATGCGTCCAGAATTTTCGGACAAATCCATTTTCTGAGATTCACGCTCACAGCACTTCTCAAACATCACAACCTGAACGGAATGTAGATCTGCTTGGAACATGTGAGGAATCAATTGTTGAACGTCTCAACACGGAGCGGTCGAGTGTCCTTCACTGCCTTCGTCTAGGAAGTTCTGCAACTTTGGCAGGTTCTCCGTTGCCAGCCTCACGAAATCCTGTCGCGGAGAGCTTGTCCACCCACGTGGAAAGCAATGGCAGAAAACCGTTGAGAAGTGTGTGCGTGTGCATTCAAGTCGCTCCTGCACTTTCTTGAAACAACTGGAAGCCATTTCCCAAACATCATTGCCACTTTCTGACGAAATTGTTCAAGCAACCGCTTTTTGCGTTTACAATTGCAGTCCTCTTCATTTTCAGCTTCAAAAATGTTCTGCACACTCTCTGGAAGCATCTCTTGTTTTCGCCGCTTCCTGTTGCAAAATTTTCAACATTTCTCAAGTGATGCAAGAGCAAAAGGAAGGGTCTCAAGGGCGGATCAAATGTAGGTTTGCTTATCAGCATCCATGTGAAGCAACAGTCGGCAAAGACAGGTCTTTCTGGAGAATCCATCTGTGCAATGAGCCTGGCTCTTCCAAAGCTGCTGGCAGACTCCAACTCCTCGGCTGCAGCATCGGGTCTTGCGGCTTTAATGTCACCGGATGCTTCACTCTAAACATCTCTTGACCCTCAAAATATCTCAAAAGCAGCGTGGTCTAAGCAAGCCATTGCTGTGATTGCTGTCATTGCTTATTCCCCACCTCCGCTTGTCGTCGGGCTTCAGCCACCACTCGCTCTGGGAAGCCTGCTAACTCCGCTACAAAGGCGCCTCAGCGTCTTCACAGTGCGACTTGAATAGAAACAGAAACAAATTTGGCCCGTTGTGGCCCGGTCGAGCACAACTCAAACACAACTTCTGCTTCGATGCCTTCTGGGTCTTCGGCCGTAACTTTGATCTGCAGCTCCATCAGCCAGAGCATAGAGGAAAGTCAACCTCCCACCGGGGCAGGCTATCAAGAGAGGGCCACAGCAAACTCTTCAAGGCAGCTGATACTGTGCTTGGGCCTGCCACTTTGAGGCTCAACAACAGCTGTTGCATGCCTCCAGGCTGCTGCTTCGAGGGTGATATGATTCATGGTAAAAAAGCCTTTCGACACCAACTCTGCTTAAGCAACGTGCCTATTCCGCACTGCAGCTGTAGCTTGCTCCAAAGCTGCAAGCTCGTGAAAGTGAGTGGCGAAGAGAGTGAAGCAACGGGTGTCCTGAACCAGTCGACGTTTCTGTCACAAAGCAAAGTTAAACAACCTGACAAGATCTGACAAGTGCCACAACATATGAAGGCCTCGACCAAATGCTTTGCAATGGCCCAGGCGATTCCAAAGCCATCTGCTGTCGAAGTGCCGCGACCTTTGAAGTGACCAAGTGAAGTTCCATTAGATTGAGCTGAATCGAACCGCGTGTCTTGGTGTCCTCGCCCAATTCATCAACGATGACCAAGGAGCGCTCCGTGGCAACGTTGAGAATACATGCTGCCTGGCCAAGCGTCACTTTTACTTCGCATGTCAAAGGAGCTTCCAGAACTCTGGACGGATTCCGTTCTCTTTGGCTGCCCTCAAGTTTCTAATCTTTTTCGGCTCCCAAAGCAGAATTGCACTGGCCTTCCAGGCAGTCTGCTTCTCGACAGCGCAGGCAATTTGAACATCATGACTGTCATAACTGTCATAACTGTCACGTGTCTTCCCACCTCCAGCATCTCTGCCATGAAGGTGGAGATTCCTCGACAAACTCTTTGCGTTACGTCCGTTACGTCGTTGATCGTCGTTTTGTGTCGCACATTGATCGCATTGGCAACTTCAACTTTGAGTCCGGCCTCGCAACTGCATGTCAGATGCCCCTACGCGGCACCTGCGACGTTCCACGCAGGAACGACTTCAACTGGTACAGCATGGTACAGCTATCCATAGCTATGTCCAGAGCTATCAATAGCTATCAATAGCTTATGAAATCGTCATGCGTCTGGGCTTCCACACATGATCGAGTCGAAACATGGAAGAACAGCGCTTCGACCTTGCTACGTGGACCCGGCTTCAAATGCACCAGTCTCTTCCGCCTGAGTTGTACGGCTTCTAACCTTCATCTAAACTCCCAATCTAAAGGGCAGTAGCCTTGAAAGTCAAACTGCAGACACCTAGGCTGCCCTGCATGGCACAAAGCTGCCCATTTGATTCAGCAAGGCGATCAACGCGATGGACCTCGAATTGCGTATTGCGAGGCAGATCCATGCGATGCCCATTTCCTCACCCCTTTCCTCCACATGATCCGCACATGATCCAAGCTGCCTGATGTAGGTACTCTTTCCTCCCATGTTGGGCCCGGTGATGAGGTGAAGCCGTGACCTTGAAGCGCGAATAATCTGGGAACGGGATAAAGATGATACTCAACCATTCTGTTCAACCAGTTCAACCTTCATTCTCCACTTTGACCCATGCCGTACATCGAAGTAAGTTTGACAAAGAAAACACACCATGTATTTTTTGTCTCCATTTTTGGGTGAACAAAATCTCTAAGGACCAACGAATCGCGATGCATCTCCACACTGTTGGCAACAAAGCTTTGCCTTGGCACCCGACAACATCAGTAAACAAGAGCCCAAGAGTCACCCAAGAGGACCCTTTTTGCTGCATTCATCTTGTGGCACTTGCACACCCATGAGAAACACAGCTGTAAAGGATTGCAAATGGATTGGAGCAAGTGTTGTCGAAATCACTTTTCCATTTGAGGCGGTAGGGAAATTCAAAGGTGTACAACAGTGTCTCGACTTTGGCAGACTGAGTTCTCATGATTTCTGGGCGTCCCTGAGCCTTCAAACGTTGAGTTTGCTGTCACAAGCACATGCACTGCGCCATCGATAACACAGTCCTTCCCTGGAGAGGCGGCGCACTTTGGAATGAATCTGGCATTGAGAACTGTCGTCCTAGCGTCGAACTGTGGCGCACAGCTAGATTTTCATTCAATTTTGTCGAACTTCTTGAAGTCAAATAGTGAAACAGAATTGTTGACTGTGTCAATGCTGCTAGAGTCAGCGGCGCACCGGACTCGTCCAACTTTGCTCGAACAAAGGTGCACGGCCTGAGTGGATTCTACGGAAGTCATCGTAGACGCATTGCGGACGATTGCGGACTCTTTTGGGCACCCAAACGCCGTCAACGCCACCCGAGCCAAAGAGCAAAGCACATCCAAATCTGCGAGAACATCTGCCTGAAGTCAAGTCGCCAAATAGCTTGATCCGTGGCATTCCATGGCCTGTGGCCTTCCAAGTGCACGCTGGGATTCCACACCAAGCGCTCCACCACTGAGCTGTAAGTGGAGGCCACTTTCAAAGCTTTCGCCACCAACCTCGCTTGGCGGGCTTGGCGTGCGGCTGAGCTATGGGTGGAGAGGTCCAGGTCGCAACAGTTTCATGAAACATCAGACATGACGCTTTGAAAGCTACAGAAAACTTTTAGTTGGGGTGAATCTATGGATGATACAGGCCAGTTCATGTCAGCGTGCAAGGTGTGGAAAGATTCTTGGTGGCTGGACAAATGATTTCTTGAGAAAATATGATTTTGACCAAGCTGCGCATCTGTCTGTTTCTGGTAATCATCCACTGCCTGACAAGCAGATATTTGTGGATCAAGATGAAATGGGAAAAACATGACAAAAGGATACAAAAGGGTTTTGTCTCAAGTTTCTTGATATTTCTTGACTATGGGTCCGTGTTTGGAAAGACTGCTGTGTTTGTTGGGGCTGGTGGAGCTCTCTGACGTTTTGAAAACGAAAGTGGAAGTAACTGTAGCCAGGCCCCTGCAGAACGCAGAACAGCGCAACATTTCAACCTGACCTACAAGTACTTCAGAACGTTGGATAGCGGGAATGATACGGAGTTTCCGCGGAATTCCATGTCTGACACCCTCTTTTTTTCCGCCTGTTGAAGGTCCTTGTTCAGCTTCACCAACTCTGTGGTGGTGAAGAAAACCTCCGTCTTTTTCAGCGACAACACCTGTCGACGGACAAGTGATCCAAAAGCATGCCCACACCACTTGAAGGTCTCATCTCATGTGGAAAAACAAAAAATAGGAATGTCCTTTTCGTCGCTGCTTATGGCTGCTTAACTAGTTACTTATGACTTATGATGATCTTTTTCGACCAAGCGGAAGCGGAAGCGATGCTTTGGAGATCTCCCCGACTTTACATAACACACGAGTCTTCTGCGCCTTCAGTGGTGGCTTTCCGTTCCACTTCTGGACGGCCTGCACTCACGGTATCCGTACAAACAAACCGTAACAAACTTCAAACAAACCAACTCAAATCTTGCACGGCGCCCAATTTACATGTGCAAAAGGAACACAAATGAACTTTAAGCATCAGGCCAATCTATCACGCCAAGAACGTCTCACAAGGAGTTCCTTCGGTTCCCCGCCTGTTGATGCTTCTTGGTGACTCGGAGGGCTAAGCCTTCAGGGCACTCGTTCAGGGACACGGACTTTTCATTGCCGCGGCCTGTGCAACGCTACAGCACGGTTTCATATTTATGCTGATCTAGACTTGATCACTGATAAATACAACGGTCCGTTTGTTCCCCTTTGGTTCCAGTGTCGCAATTCTTTTCCTTCAGACAGCACCTGCAAGATTCAACTTTTTGTCGACGTCTGCACGGACGGCCTCACAGAGAAAGGAATCAAATGACGCCGAAAAAAAACAGGAGAAAAGCAGTGCTGCACCACCTGTCTTGACGCACAACAGTTATATAAGATGTCACCCATGCCACCATATCCATAGTGGCATCATGTTTCTTGACGCGGCCTCCATTTGCTCACGGACCTTGTCCCGCTGCATGGCGAGCTGCTTCAATGAAGGATCGAAAGCGGTACTGATGCAGTAGTTCCTGTGTTGCGACAGCGCTCCTCTGCATTCCCAGCATTGAAACTACATGAGAATCCCTTAATTACTCAACTTAAAACATAGTAATACATAGTAAAACTCAAGAATCTCGCTCTCCCCTCTCTGATTATGACCTGTGCCCACTTCAACCTGCCTCAGCTCCGCTTGCTGTAGGTCAATAGTTTGCTCCACAAGTGCCCGGAAGTTCCCGAAATCCTTCATGATAGACCTGGCAACAATGGCATGAAGGTAGCCAAGGAGACTCTATTGTGTTGCAAGTGATTTAGAACTCTGTCCAGCAAATGAAAAAATGCGCATGTCGAGCGAAAGCGTTTGAGTTAACTTTGATTCCCTGCCGGATATGATCAGATTTGCGCTTAAGCCGGAACCGAGCTCAAGCATTTCCACTCCGTGGCCCATGCAAACCGCAACATGCTCCAAGTTTCACCCCCCAGCCTATGAATGGTTTACTCATGTTTACTCAGTTTGCTCTACACTTCCCCTTTGAAGCTTTTTCCCGCTCAGTGCCAACCTGAGCCGTTCCAAGAGCGTTCCTTCCAAAACCTCTCGATGCTTCCCTTGATAGGCCTCAAGTGCCTCAACAGATTCACGTGAATCATCAGAATCATCATGAAGTGTGCAAGTTGCAACTTTGCAAACGTGGCCTGAACCATCTTGTCGGTTGCAAGAATACAATGGTACCTGCAACGTGGACAATGTGGCCTGGGAGAAAGCGCACCACCAATTCTCTGAGTTTGCGATGCCAAGACTCGTTCGACATCTATGCAACTCACAACCATAAACCATCACCCTGCGCACAGGTTCACTAAATCTTCCAAGGTCGCTCCTTGCGCTTTCGACCTAAGCTGAATTCCAAACCTCTAACAGTGAAACTGTGAGGATGTCAATTCTGAAAAGATGGTTTCTGTTACAACTCAGTCATTAGAAAACTGCAACAAACTGTCAACATCCTCGTGGTTTTTTGGGAGCACTGGGGGCACTGGGCGCCGCGGCTGTGCATGTGTCCGATGTAGCCTGGCTGCGATTCGCTCCAGGTCTGGCACCCGACGTAGCTGCCCCTCAGTGCACAGCAGAGTGTAACTTACGCATCAGATCATTCTGCATCATTCTTTAAGATAATGATAAATGATTGTGATGGCTATGATGATTTTCATCATTGATCATAACCCAAGTTCTGCAGTAATGATTGATTTCTGCATGATCTGTATTTTTTGATTACGCACACATGCTGATTATCACACACAAATTATACAGAAATTGTTCCAGTGGCGGTCCGTGGCGGTGATGTTCCACCTTTAACAAGAAAACTCATCCAAAACTCCAAGTTTTAATATCACAATCGCTCGACTCATTCGAATCATTCCAAGTACACACGAAATGAACAAACTGGTCGTAGCAGTCCTCAAGGTCTCGTAAGAATGAGTCGGCACCCACCAGCATCTCCACCTGAGCTGTCGCACCAATGATTTCCTCGCATGAAAAACTGCCACCTCTCGTAATTTGAAGACTTTTCGTGCCGCCAGCCATGGCACGATGTCGTGTCGTCTCGAAATCTTTTGGGGATCAGTCAAAGGCTGCCTCAGTGCGGCAGAGGCATCAAAGATACTCATTGGATTCATTGGCACCCTGAAGAACACCCTGCACGACAGCTCCGCTGAAAATAAACTTTCATCCTGGATATGTCTTGGAAATGCCTTGATTATCCTTGAGCAATGTCGCCACGTATTATCACTTTGCTGTTTATGTTATTCTAGACTGAAACCGTTCTCCCTCTCCTCTTCCAAGACACGTGAGCCACTGTCGCAAGCGCCTTTGGCCGATTTGAGACCGACACCTTCGCCGCGCAGAGAAGCGGAGATGAGCTTTGAAGCCATGGCTGTGGCTGTGCCGTGCGCCTGTTGAGGAAACCCAGCAGATTGGTGCTCGACCTCCAAGGCATGACATGTTCACCAGGGTGTCTCTGGAAACCCTCCACTGATCACTGATAGAACCAGGAAATTGATGGAAACTTTAATGGAGATTTCACTGCTGACCTGAAACAAGTTTGATATTCTTTCCAGCCACTTTGAACTTTTTACATCTTTTTACCATGACCGCACCGACAGCCTCTGACTTTCCTCTGGTCGTGGTAAGACCTTGGCTGCGGTACAGTGGCAATCTATCCAAACTCCCATTGTAAGCTTTGCAAGCCAGAAGGCAACACCAAAAGTCGTGACCAGTGGTGACCCTGGTGTACGAGTGCTGGAACATTGAAGCACAGGAACTCTGAAAGTTTGAAGTGCGGAACTTCAGAACGGAAAACTCTGAAAGTCGCCACTTTAAACTGTTATATCTGTTGTTCTACTTTGTTTTGAGCACCTCTCATCGCATCGTCTCGCACTCTGGCCTCCCGGGGCGCCGGACGTTGAGGGCCGAGAAGGCCGCCTTGTCCAGGAACACGAAGTTCCTGCGCCGTGTGGAGCATGGCTTCCACGGAGCAGGTGTGGAAAAAATGTGAATCCGGCGCTGTCCCGTTAGGCCGTTCTCTGTGTTGGGCCGCGTTGTCCGCGCCTCAAGGGATAAAGGCCCAAGGTACACGCCTTGAAGTTCCCAGCTTCGTTCAGCAGCTGCAAATGCCTCGCGCAGATCTGACCAGAAACATGTCAACATGTCACCTCTGACTGAACTCATACAATCTCATCACGCAATCGCTCACAAGCCACAGTGTGCATCCACAAAAAACATCCAATGTTTTTCCATCCTAGCTGATGGGCACAAGATTTCATGGAGTTTATGCCCGCTACCGCTGCAACCACTTGTTGCGAGCTGAAGCATCTGAGCTGTCTGTAGATTCTGGCTGCGCACCCGATCAGAACTGCCAGGGATTTCATGCCTTGCGCGTGGCGCTGTTCCTGCGAGCAAATGAATACATTCTTGATGTTTCATAACAAACACGTACGGGATCAAGGGCCTCTCAAGAAAATGTTGAGGACGCTTACAAAGTGGTGTACAGTAACAAGGCTTGAATCAACAAGGAAATGTTCTGATCAACTGACATGATCATTATAGACTGTACAGCTTATAATATAAATGAAAAACTGAACAAGAAACTGATGTTCATCTCTCACCAATTCTCACCACACGCTTGAATATCTCGGATCCTCCAAGTGTCTGCCAAGGCCATCGACCAGTAATCGCCCCAAGTCCTGACCGCTGCTGATCTGCAACAAATCTTACTTACCACGGAGCAGTTGAATCATCCGAAACGGATCCAGCAGAATCAGCAGAATGATCAGATCATTTCAGATCCGGCTCCTGTTCCAAATCCACTTCTTTGGCCGTCTGCGACTTCACTTCTTCCAGCTCCACGCCACAGGATTCCGCCACAGAACCTGCGGTCCGGTGGTGGGTGGTGTCAAGTGGTGTCAGGTGGTGTCGCAGGCGTCACTGGGCTCTTCACGCAGCTTTCGTGGCACCTCGTTGGGCAGCGCAAACCTTGGTGCCGTGGAGTCCAGGACCAAGGTCCTACCCAGGTCCGACCAGCACCATGACGCACACAAAATGCTGGGCAGGTGCGAAATCGTGCTTTTGAAACCGGTCAACCGTAAAAGAAATAAGCTCTGTGAAAACACACTCATGCTCTTTCACACCATGGGCCTATCTAGTGACCTCTCTACCAGAAAGGCTTCTCGACACTCGAGCGTTTTTGATATTTTAAGCTGTTTACGCTGCTTCTAAGCGGCTGTGGCCCTTAGTGACTGCCTTAGTGCCAAGCCAACAGCATCGCTTGGGTTGCAACTGCAGGAGGAGGGCCTCGGTCCTAGACGTGCTCCAAGTCTGTCACGCTAGACGCATAGCCACGCTGTGTCAAGATCTGTTGGATGCAAACATCTAAATACGTCAAACAGCCACGGAGTGCCACGGAAAGCGCACCTGGAGAGATGCACATCTTCCAGGTACTCACAAATCCTGCATGGCACACCCGACACCGGAATGGAGAATGGCGTCAGCCGGACATTGAACCATGAGAGTCATGAGGTCCTGAACGCACGGAGATCTTCCGAAAAGACAGCCCATCCGAACTGGTCACCTCAGTGTCTTTGTGCAACTTGAAATGAAAAAAACAAACACATAAAATGCACACAGGTTCACTGGGATTCCGGTCGGATGCAAGTGGATGCAATTTTTCAATTCTGATCAATTCTTCAAGTTCAAAGTTTGTTTGCGAATTTGGCTATCAGCCAGTGACCCAAGTTTAGGAAATGCATTCGACTCTAAAGCAGAGGTCCCTGCCACTTCCAGTTGCTGTGATGCAGCAAACAGCATTCTCCTGGCGGGGTTGGCTTACCTCTCTCCAATGTCTCAGATTTGTGGCTTCAAATTCGGAATTCAAACATATTCACAGTAAAAAGGATTGACCAATTGACCAGGCAGTGGAATGACGACACCCAATGACACCGACACCATCGCGACGCCATTGAAATCTGCCGTTTTGTTTGTTGGACCGGGCGCATGATCAGTGCACCTGAACCTCCGAATCAAAGGCCATGGCCGCCAGTGTCCCAAAAATACACAGCTGCGGTTCGCAAAGATAGAAATGCCATGACAAAGTTGACAAACTTCAAAAACTCAAGAGAATTCACATAATTCACAATTGAATCCAAAGATAGAATCAGGGAGAAAACTTTGAAAACAGTTTGGTTTGGAGACATCCCACCGCAAGTTGTGGACCTGGTCCTGGGGTTAGAAATGCCAGCAAAATTGCAAGCCTCAATCCTGTGGAGAAAATCTTGGAAGAATTGCAGGTTTTTCTCCACGGACAGAAAATTTGCTACGAAACAGCTGGGAACGAAATATGTGAATTAGGAACAACACGTAGCCCTTCATCACCCTTTCGCGGAACACTGAGCCAGGTTCCAAAGGGTTCCCCCAGAAAGTCACTGTTAGTTCTTTCAGTTATCGGAAAAAAACAATCCCGGCCCCAGTGGCCCCTTTTTGGACGGCGCTTCTTGGAAGGCCGGGTCGGGCTCAGGATCTCTGAGCCGATGGAGATCCCAGGCGCATGGCGACTCAATGGCGACGGCATGGCAACCCATGGCTCGTCGTATCTCGTAATGTCTTGTGACCATATGGAGGAACTGGGTAACCATTTTGAACCATACCCACCAGATTTTGAGTAGCTTTGTTGAAAAGGAATCCAGGAATGGTGTAGTGTAGATGTGGTGACGTAAATTGAGCAACACTTCTTTTTAGGTTTTGTAGGTTTGGAATGCGAGAGGCGAGAAATCCGTGCTTTTGGAGATCTGATCTACGACCAAAAAGTGCAACGAATTTTGGTATCTCAGAATGCAACTCCTAACTTCCTACAGATCAAATTCACCCGCTCTTTAAATCTGAAACTCTTCAAGTCGCATTGAGGCAGGGATCCCCGCGGTGTAGCAGCTTGTCTGCTCGGTGCTGAAATCTGGAGTCATGGCACCTGGATGGCGTCGGAAACTTGGTTGTCTTATATTTGGTGGATTTCCGCTGCATTTTCTACTCTTCTTGCAAAAAGAATGCGGCCCACAAAAACGAATGCTCACACTCATGTTAATGGTACAGATGTCGAAACACGTAAAGATGCAGTCACACAAAACACTTGTGCAAAACAAATTAATCATTTCAACAGACAGTGGAGTGTTGAGCGGGGAAGATAGTGCGCAGGGTGTGCAGTGGGGATTGTGGAGTGTGAAGTAGCGAGTGTAAAAGTGTGGAGGGTAAAAGTGTGGAGTGTAAAGTGTAGAGTGTCAAGTGTAGAGTGTGGAGTGCCAAGTGTAAAGTGTGAAGTGTAAAGTGTACAGCGTGGAGTGTGGAGTGTAAAGTGTAGAGCCTGGAGTGTAGAGTGTCAAGGGTAGAGTGTGAAGTGTAAAGTGTAAAGTGTAGAGTGCAAAGTGTAAAGTGTAAGGGGGAGAGTGTAGAGTGATGAGTGTAAAGTGTAGAAGCGGAGTGTAAAGTGTACAGTGTGGAGTGTAAAGTGTGAAGTATCGAGTGTCACGTGTGAAGTGTGAAGTGTAAAGTGTGAAGTGTAAGTAAAGTGTAGAGTCTAGAGTGTAGAGTGTGCAGTTTGAAGTCAGAATCTATCACTTTTACCACAATTTTCACATCTCTCTCATCAACACATGGTACAAAGAACATAACTACATGGTATAAATCTACCATCCCTCCCAAACAATATGTAGAATACATTCATGTACAAGGTATAAATCTGCAACAAGATGCAGGGTGGTAAAATAGTGGGCGTACTTTGTAACACAATATACGTCAAGGGTCTAAATCTGCCACCCCCTAAAACAATATGTAGAAGGTATAAGGCTAAGGATGGATAGACTTTGTAAAACAAAACAATATACATAAAGAGTCTAAATCTGCCACCCCCTAAAACAATCAATATGTCGAAGAGCATAATAACGGATTTACTCGCTAAAACGTCACGATTCTGGTTTCCCAGTAACTCGCAGCAACAACCCTTCGCAGATTTCGTCGGGGTCCGTTGAAAAAGAGAATCATTTTGTGCAACAGGTGCGGGCCCCGGGCAAAAGTCTGGGTCTGTGCATAACAATAGATTCAATAGTGTTTGGGACAAACTCTGGATTTGTTTCTCTTTCCTGACTTCAGTTGAGGATACTATCAAGTGACCCGGAAAATGCTGCTTTCCCAAATCCGAGTGCCGAGCGAACGGTTCTTTTTTTACTTTGGGGGTCTGGGGGTTGGGACGCTTTCGCTGGACGCCGCTTTCACATCCGCAATCATCCGCAGCCGTCCGCAACCGTTCACAACCGTCCCCAACCGTCCGCAACCGGTCGCGATGAGGTTGCTATGGCCGTGCCTCTGGCGAGTGCTGTAAAAGTGGTCACGTTTGGAGGTTTCAAACGTCGCGCAACGTCGTTTCGTATGGCAGGCATGGCACCTCGTGGCATCTTATCATGTTTCATAACGCGTCACAAGTAGTTCTGTGTAACAGGCGCGCTACATTTGCATCGTTCTCAGAAGATGACTTGCATGTTTCGTGGGAGGCACAGCTCTTTGGGAGACATTTTGCGTGGCAGGCGAGGCACTTTAGACGTGTCGTGTCGTGTGTTTTGCGAATCGCATTGTCAGCGCTGCGTCAAGTGTGACAAGGAGCAAATCGCGTGGCATGCGTTGCTTTTTGGGACATGTGATGAAAATTGATGGAAGCCTCGCACGAAACATCGATTCTGAGGTAGCCAATTTTGGGGTTCAATACAAAACTCATAGGAAAACGTTGATTTTGGAGCTACCATGCAAGTGTCAAAATCTATGAGAGGTTTTGAAAGGTTTCAATCGAGGTCAAAATACCGTTTTGCATGGCAGGCGTAGCACTTCGTGACATTCTCACGTGTTTGATAAAGTGTCAAAATCGTTTTGTGGGACAGGCGCAATACTTTCGCAAGTTTTGGAGAAGATGAGTTGCATTCTTCGTAGCAAGCGCAGCACTTTGGAGATCTCCATCGTCATTTTGCGTGTCATCTTGGGCGAACGTTCGGTCCTGCAGGTATTGATAATGAATGTTGCAAGAAGTGAATGCCACCCGAAGTGCCAGAAGAATGTAGAAGAAACGTGTGCTGCATGCAATGACGAGGAGCAGAAAATCCATTTCAGCAACCTCGAAGGTACAAAAACATCTATCTGGGTCCAACGCCCAGATCTTACACCTTCGGAAAAAATATGCACCGTGCTGTGAAAAAGATGCTTCTGCTCTCATCGAAAGTGGGACCCAATTGGGGCCTTGAAACCCTGTCCCGGGTGCTGCAGGCAATCCATGCGTCATCTCAATGCCAAATGATATCCAACGAAATCCTTCAATCAAAAGAAATCTCGGATCATCCACAGCCTCCCAAAAAAACCACTAGTTTCGATGATTTCGATGGCCATTCTTTGGGCCAAGTTCTGCTAAGGCGTCGGGGTGTCTCAGTCGTTTTCCATCATGGATCCGCCCCCCGAGCTCGCGCTGCCCTCGCTTTGTCCAGATGACGCTGGACCGCCAACCCTCATCTTCCGATCGGACCTGTTCAGATGGAAGTCATGGGAAGTCACGGGAAGTCACGGGAAGTCATGGGGAGAATGAAAAAATGGAAGCAAAATGGAGAGAAGGGACACTTGAATCCCCATCTGGAGCACCTTGCCTAAAAGACTTCTCCTTTCGGTTTCTCCTTTTGGTTGGGCCGTCTCGGTAAAAAGATCCCAAACATCCCAAACATCACCCATTGGATCGTCAGCTCGTCACAGGCACATACTCTTGTTCCTCTTGATGATCAGCTTTTCCAGGCGTTCAAAGCGATCTTCATCCACCAAAGTCTCCTCCTGCAGGGCTGGGATGCACCGATGCACCGATCACCAGGTTGTTTTATCGATATCTCCCAGTGCAACATGGATTTCACGCATCAACAACTTTTTTAAAACTACTTATTCAAAATGAAATCTCCCGTGGTATCTCCATTTTTGCCCAACAGCGTAAGCTAATGGGGTCTTCAGCCCAGAATAGCTCCGGCGTGCACTGGTGCAGGCGCCGGGTCAGGTTCAACAAGGTTCCGGAGAAGGTTCAGAAGGTTCCGGAGAAGGTCTGGGAGGCTTGGTGCGGATCCAGGTCAGGTTCAACAGGGTTCCGGAAAAAGTTCCGGAGAAGGTGGGAGGGAGGCTTTGGTGCAGAGCCAGGTTAGGTTCAACAGGGTTCCGGAGAAGATTCCGGAGAAGGTTCCAGGAAGCCTTGGTGCAAAGCCAAGTCAGGTTCAACAGATTTCCGGAGAAGGTTGCAGAGAAGATTGCGGAGAAGGTTTTGGGAACCTTTGGTGCAGGGCGAGGTCAAGTTCAACGGGTTCCGTAGAAGGTTGCAGAGAAAATTTTGTAAAAAAAACGGTGCGGCTGTTGGGGATACCACCGAGGCTTATTTTAAGTAATTTATTGAATATTGCGATGGGTCAGGACCTATATTAGCATCTGAATTGGTGGACACCAGGAGATATCAGGGCGAAGCGACCCATACCTAAATCGCTGGGTCATTGGTCAATGCTTCACGGTTCTAAGCCACTTACCTATGGGATACCCTGTTGTGCATGTTTTGTGTTTTCCCCGAAAATACAGAAAACACAAACAACTCGTGGTCGATCATGACTACTCCATTGCCAAAAGTGCCATTTGATGGGAATGGGTATCCAGTATCCACCACTTTGATACATATCCCCCATTGCTACCCATTTGAGAACACAGTACTTCAAACTACGACATATATATATATATAATATAATATGATAACATAGACCCGGGCAAGCCGGCGGCGGAAGTTTCCCAAACATAAATGACCTATAGTTCAAAGACACCCTGTCCCGACCGTGTCCTTCCCT